GTGTAATCACCCTGCCATCATTCCTAGTTCTATTCCTCTATTCTGATTGGGGGAAAACAAGTTGATGAAATTGTACTTCACTTTTATAAAATGCTAATATCTGCTTTATAATTATACTCTCCCAATAGCCTCTCTTGTACACAGTAATGTATTTTCTTTTTGATGGCTACTGTTGCTATGTGTGTTTATTTTTATCAATAGATGAGCTCATAGGGGGCCTGGGGACAGCTAGTTTACTTCTAAAGGGAAAGTGCAAACGTTGTCCTGTTATTGTAGGAAATAACAATCTTAAGGCTGTGTTCCCACATGGAAGAAAAATATATTTTAAAAATATTCTTCCCAAATATATTCGAAATGCTAAAAGTTTGGTGCATATATATATATATATATATATTAGTGTGTGTATGTTATGTTGAATGCGTATTTATTGCAAAATATCTGAAAATTTATTCAGATACACTGTGTCTTTAAAAATACATTTCATCTATATTTTTTAATGCATTTACGAATATATGTAAAATATGTTTAAAATGACTTTTTTATATGTTAAAAAAAATCTGAAGGATATATTTCAAAAATTTTTTTTTTAAAACATTTTCAAATATTTTTATAATATATAAAAAAAAATGCATTTCAACATGCAGTGTGTGTGTGTGTGTGTGTGTGTGTGTGTGTGTGTGTGTGTATATGTATATATATATATATATATGTGTGTGTGTGTGTGTGTGTGTGTGTGTGTGTGTGTGTGTATGTGTATATATATATATATATGTGTATATATATATATGTATATATATATGTGTGTGTATATTGTAGTATTTCAAATACAATGTCAATATATTTTTTAAAATATATTTTTCTTCCATGTGGGTTCACATATATGCGATATATCGCATGTGATTCGCACAGGAACCGCACCGCATTCCTGTGCAAATCGCATGCGAATTGTGTTTGGTGCCATTGGAGCCATTTTGTATGGCTCCAATTGCCCCGCATCTGCACCAAAAAGCTGCAGGTCTCCTTTTTTTTTTTTCTTTTTTGGTCCGCACTAGAATCGGATTGCATGGATATTCACACCCATGCGATCCTATTCTGTACTTCGCACTGCGTTTTGCGGACCAATTTCAGGGTGTTGTTAACTTAACATACACACCCGCAGCAGTTTGCATGAACAGGGTGTGATTTCTCATGCGGTGTGGAATTCGCACAGAAAATGCTGCGAATTCCTCAGCGCATCAGTGTGAACCCAGTTTAAAGTAAAATTTTACTGTTAAAAAAAAAAAAAAAAAAAAAACAAATTTTGAATAAAAAAAAAAACCTGTCCGTGTCCTGTTAATAAAAAGCAAAACTTTTTTTTCTTTCAGTTGTGGATACTGTAGGGGATGGCAAAACCTTTCAGATTTATCTTTTGTCATTTGGGAGAGTTTTCTCAGCTTTGCTGTCTTGTAGATACAATAGTGTCTGGAACAAATGGAAAACTTGAAGAGTCATGCCACTGTTTAAATCCCTGGTACCCAATCTGTGGCCCTCAGACCTCTGTCCTCAGCAGTCTTTAGTGGGAACATCGGTTAGAGTAATAGCATTGATCTCGACTATCCTCGTGTAACATGTTCCCAGTCTCACATCCTTTTTTCAGCATTTCCCCAACCAAAAGCCTGTAGCATGTCCACACTCTGATCTTCATATCCTCTATTTGGTCTCCAGTTTGACAGTCCTCTCAATCATTCGATATACTGAATATTATGTGCGGCCCTTTTGTTGATTTCAGGGGCCGCATTTGAGGCCCCCTTTAGCTGATATGGTGACAGCCACAACAACCACTGGTTTAAATAGTCCTGATACAATTTTGTTTCAGTACGGGTCACATGGCTGCCAAATAGCTGCTTAGGTGATCTGCGAAGTTTCACACTGGGTATAATATTTAATCAAGTTCCAGTAATTACGTTGTTTGCAATTGGTAAGCCCTGATGAAGAGGGTGTTTTTGGACCTCGAAACGTGCTGACTACTCGTGTTATTGTGACCCTTACTGAAATAAAATTATCTGACATGCTGGTTTACTAAAACTGTCGTTAAGTTCTTAAAGGGCCCCAATGATAGCCTGCAGAAGAACATCAAGAACTACCCCTTCAGCAAAACCATCCTGCAAGTCCCTTTTTTGATTTCTTCTCCCGTTTTTTCTTTCATTCTTCTTTCTTTCTTTTTTTTTTTTGTAAATCTGATATTTTTTTGAGGTTTGGATCCATGTACACATACAATCATATAACCCCAATCTCCAACAGGGTGTAGTATTGGTACCAACAATTTACAGTGTTGCAATATAAAAGGGGTACATATCCATGTATACAAAAGATGTAAGTACAGATCCCAAACCACAACCTTTTCCATACAATACTTCTTCCCCCTTTCTTTTTTTTTTTTTTTTTTTTTTTTTTTTATAAAACTTCAAAACAAACAAAAAGAAGACAAAGAATATGCACGAAATACAAAACCAAAATGAACTAAACCCAGAAAATCAAGCTGCCTCAGCCTATCCATGTGTAATGCAGTAGATAGAAGTTCGACGCCTGCCAGAAGCAAACTTTTAGCACATATGTATATGTCTGTAATACCTATCCAGGAGCTGATGGGACACTAGTTATATCAAAGCAGACCTGAAGAGACTCCGCCACTTAACAGTCTATCCTTAATTCATTGGGTTGGTGCTAATCCCGGTGTACCCAACCAGGCATCCCAAATGGTTGTAAAATTTCCGGGCACATCCTCTATGTTGTTAAACTAGTTTTTCTCTCTAATTAGGGTATCGTTAACAGCTTTAATCCATTGGATATGGGAAGGAGGGTTGGGAGACGACCATTTCTGAGCTATGAGCTTTCTTTCGTTCTTACAGACAGTGCACATCCAGTCTTGGAGTAGCATAGTCCCCATTAATGCACGTCTGCAGTATAGTCTCCCGTAGCTGGTAAATCAACCTTTATTACTGCCCACTGTTGCACTTTAGGTGACCTTACTACTGTGTATGCTGATGTGGATGCAAAGTGTCATCTTATGCCTAGTCCTTACTACTAATCGCTCTCTATGCTAAATTGTGTTATTTCCTCTGTTAATCCATTTTCACGCTTACCTACCATATCAGGTGACAATATATTCAGTGTGCCTTTTACTAATGGGTTCAGTGCCTGGTTTCTTGGATATGCCTGCCTAGTAACCAGACCACTTAAACCAACATCATTACATGGATGGCAGAATCAATTGGACAACCTTGTGGGTTCAATGCTCTTTCCACTTTCCCAAATAATAAAGAATGAGACTGTAATGCTTACAGGGTTTTAAAGGGTATTGAAGAGATCCAATGTATGAAGTATATTATAGTATTGAGTGTACTTTCTATATACCAACAATTTGAACAAATAAAGTACAGAAGGACAAATAATAAGGAACAGATAAATTGGGTACCACCTTTTCGGATAGCAGAACCATCCCTTCTTTACAGTGACCGGTAGTTCTTCTTTTAGTCTCAGTGACAATGGTTACCAGGATAAATGGTCCCAGCAGGTATACAGACAGATATAAAAAAAAATCCTTTGGAGGCATACAATTTTTGGTGGGACTCTTAACAGACCATGTTAAGGTATAATGTCCTCTCCTGTTAAGAAGAAATCTGGAATTGTGAGTGCTCATCTCTAAAGTGTCAACACTCTTAGACGAAGGATAAAGAGATTGGATGAAGCACTTTTTTATACACATCAGATATTTTATTGAAGATCTGCCGGTAACCTGATGCTTCAGGGAACTGTGTCCTCAATTAGGTCTGACTGGTGTATGTAAATGGCGAGTAACTGGAGAAGATAACGCTTGTAACAAAACTACAGAAATAAATCTACAGACAAAAAGGTCTTTGGAGGTCTTCAATTTTTGATGGACTCCATTGGTGGGCTTCTCAACAGACCATGTTGAGGTAAAATGATCACTCCTGATAAATCTGTAATTGTGAGCCCTCTACTCTAAAGTGGCAGCACTCCCCTTTGCAAAACTCTGGTCCGGCCCCATCTTTAGTATGCCATCCAGTTCTGATCACCAGTCCTCAGGAAAGGTGTGATGGAACTGGAGAGAGTCCAGAGGAGGGCAACAAAGCAAATAAAGGGACTGGAGGACCATTGGCATTAAATATTTTCTCCCTGGAGAAGATGATGATTGAGAGGAGATATGATGATGATGATTCTACAAATACCTCAATAGTGATTCAAGCATAGGGAAAAAACTATTCAGTTTTAGGAAGCTTGAGAAGACACAAGGCCATTCAATGAAATTGGAGAAGTGGTTCAACCTTAAACTGTGTAGAAGACTCTTTGTGGTCAGAGCAGTAAAGACCTCAAACTCCCTTCTAGAATAGGTGGTGTCAGCAGGGAGTGTTGATAGTTTCAAAAACTTAAATGGCCATCTTGGCAAGCCCAAAAGGGGACCTGGGAAATGGTATTGACATAAGCACACCCACCCACACAGGTTGAACTGGATGGACTGGTGTCTTTATTCAACTTACCTACTTTGTAAAACCATTTTTTGTCAGATGTCCTGCAGGGACCAATGTGTTGGCTGATGAACCTTTGTGGATTGAGCTCACTGCTAAGGAACATAGTGATTGTGAGTGCTTGCTAGAAAATGGGTTCTATACGTTCACACCACTCTATCCCAAATGACGAAATAAGAGAACTACTTTAGAGGCTTAGCATTTGTTTATCCATGAAAGCAGCTCAACATTGCTTGAATTGCCTATAATTACGTTGTCACTTATTGTGCACACTGTGCTGATTCCACATTCTAGCACCAGCAGGGTGCCACAGTAAGTTCCCAAAGCTGGGTCCACAAAAAGGCTTACAAATTTAGCAGTTGTATGTAATTTGTTTTGGTAATAAACCCAACCCCAATACATGTGTTGTGATAGCAAATAGAAACATTTGAGTCTTGTAGCTCACAAGATCATGTATTCTTGTTGTTTCCACAGGTTCACTTTGACCAGTTTAAAGAAGCCCTTATAGATGTCCTTTCAAGCACACTGTCCAATAAAGAGAACTGCCCAGAACCAGGTAACCTAACATGCCTTGTATTCATTGATTTTATTAGAATGTTTTGGCTATGAACTTATCCAATAGCATGTGACCTTTTGACTGAGAACCAGAACCAGCTTTAAGCTAGCCATACATGGCCTGAATTTCATCCAATCTCTGTGGGTTAAAGTGGTTGTAAACCCTTAAATATGCTCGGTGAAGTGAGGCGATACACAGAGCTGAAGCAAATCATGTTACATAAGTTTTCCCTGCCTATCTGCAGTCTTCTCCTCTCTACATCTGTTCAAAGTGCTGAATTTATAAAGCTTGTCTAAGCTGACAGAAAAACGGGGGGGGAGCAGAGCTAAGGTTACACTCTTCAGAGCTCACTGATGAGAGCTCTGAGAGCTGATTGGAGGGAAGGGACACCTCCCTCCACATAGCTTACAGAAGCAGAGCTGAGGCTGTAATCTACTGGAGGTCCCTCCCCTGTCACCATTTTTCTCTTGGTGTCAGGGGAAACTTGTCAGAAGTGATTAATGTTGAGAGCAGAGGAATGAAGAAGCAGACCGAAATGACACTTGGTGCTATTAATTGAGACAAGTACACACTATAGAGCAGGGGTCTTGAATTAAAATTTACAGAGGTCCGGTCAGCAAAATTTCCTTCCAGTAGAGGTTTGAATCTCGTTAGCAATATAACACATCACAGTCCCCTGGTACATTATGATCTTTAGCGTACCTTTCACACTGTAGTCCCCTCTACATCACAGTCCCCTCTTTAAAGAAGTCACTGTGTCCTCTTTTCTCCTTCACATCACTGCCTCCCTTTACATCACGGCGCCCCTTAACACACGACACGGCGCCCTTTAACACAACACAGAGCCCCTTTTAATGCAAGCCTTCCCCTGTACAGTCCTATGGCACCTTAGGCAGGGCAGATACACTAATCCTTCTGGGGTGTCCTTTTCTGGGTCTCTGGCCCACCACTGGTGTTGTCCTCATGGTAGGTGGGGTGTGGGGGGCAGGAGCTGCATAGGTTGTTGTGTTGGTAGGTGGGCGATTGCCTGGCTTGCTGGTGTGGGGGGGGGGAGGCTCCCGCTTTCTGTCTCGAACTGCAGAGAACAGAGGTCTGTGCATGTTGACTGCCTGGGTGGTTGTCGACTCCAGCCCCTCGGTCCCAATCTTCAGCTCCTGCTGCTGGGTGTCCTTTTCTGGGCCTCTCGCCTGGCTGCCAGTGTTGTCCTCGCTGTGGGGGGCTGCAGGTCAAGACTGGTAGCACCCGGCAGTGGCATAGCTGTGGCCCGGACGGGACCATCCCTCGGTCCTGTTCCGGACCTGGGTCCGCCATTTAGTGACCACTGCTATAGAGGAATGTGGAATGCTGGCAGAGCAGGATTTTCTTCTTGGGCTGTGGCTGCTTTCTGGAAAAAAAAAAATTTGAATGCATTTTTGTTTTGGTATACCTGGATTATTATTAGCTGGTTTTACACTGAAAAGTTTATTGGGCTTTAATAAAAAAAACTAGTAAGACATTTAACATCTAATTTTTTCCAGCAACCTTTATCTCCAGAATACAGGGGCGGACTGACAACTCATGGGGCCCCCGGGCAATAGGGGATCGTGCGGCCTCTGTGTCCTTGCCCAAACTCAAAAAAGCCTATGAAAGAGGTACCAGAGGCATCTCATGGGGCCCCCTACTGATCTCGGGCCCCTAGGCAATAGGGGATCGTGGGGCCCCTGTGTCCTTGCCCAAACTCAAAAAAGCCTATGAAATGGTATCAGAGGCATCTCATGGGGCCCCCTACTGACCTCGGGCCCTCGGGCAGTGCCCGAGTTTCCAAATGGTCAGTCCGCCCCTGCTAGAATATCAGTCAGGCATATTTTTAACGCTGAACTCCAGGCACAGAAATCTATTTCCCAATGGCCACAAAGCATATAAATCCACTTTGTGTGTACCAAATGGCTTTGCAAAAAAGATATCTTGCAAAAGTAGAAGGGACATAACTTGTGCAGAAAGCAGCAGGCTCTATCCACTACAGGCTGCCTGCAGGAAAATCAAAGAGGGGGCGGAGACTAGACCAGTCACCCTGCACAAGGAGAGAGAGCAGCAGTAACAGGTCTTTATTACAGGAAGCTCCTACACAGAGGGAAAGTTTCACACAAAGGTGAAGGAAATACACAAAGCACAGCAAGATTCAAGGAAGAGTGCACATGCCTCTTGCCAATATTTGTTTATCGTGGAGTTCAGCTTTACATTTCTGTGTGGTTTTTTTTTTTTTGTTTTTTTTTTTTTTTGTTTGTCGCCAAGATGAATGTGCTTTTAAAAAAAAGGTGTATGTTTGTACATCTTGTTGTTTGGATACATAACTGGAGGTGTTTTGTGTAATTATTTGGCTTCCCTATGCAATATCCTGCCAGCGCTGGCTTGATGCTCTCCTGTTACAAGTTTCAGCAGCTTTGTTGGCTAATTATTTACTTTGCCAATTAAACGCCTGAGATGTTTGCTCTCTAACAGACTGCTAGTCTCTGTAGTACCTGAGTGTGCTTAGTGTACATCTGCTGCCCAGCAACCGCTATTCTCCAGCCGCAGTGTATAGATCACGCGTCATCCTGTGCTTTGTTCTGGGAAATAAATGGCATGGATCGAATCCTTTGCTGTAACACATTAACAGATGCAAAGTTACACATACTAATGTAATGGCCTGTCACCGCATCACGTTACGTTTATTAACCAATGTACTGTCATTGCATATTGGGGGGGGGGAGAGATAAAAATACTGTGTATATTTGATATAAAAAGTCTACATACCCCTGTTAAAATGTCATGTAAAAAAATTTGACATCTTTTCAGAGCTTTTTCCACCTTTTAATGTGACCTATAAACTGTACAACTCAGAACAACAAACTGAAATCCTTGTAGGTGGAGGGATGTAAAAATAAAAATTAAAATAATATGGTTGCATAAGTGTGCACACCCTTAAACTTGGTTGAAAACCCTTTTGATGGAATTCCAGCACTCAGTCTTTTTTGGGAGGAGTCTATCAGCATGAAATAGAAGTAGATAAGCTGGTGTAGCGCTAATACCATGTGATAATAGACATAAAATATAAATAAATAAAGGACTTGATATTAAATGGGTGAATACATAAATTATATGAATAAATATATAGGTGTACAGTGGTGCACCTAATGTGTGGCCCAAAAACATACCATCAAGAATGTGACTAAATAAAAGTGATAGGTGATATAAGTGAAACAAATATTAACCAAATATAAATACATGTGATCATAAATGAAAAATATTCATAAATAGTATAACAAGTATAAAAAGTATAATAGTATCTATCAGCATTTGTGTATGGTAGAGTAAACTTTACTCTATATGCATGTGCATACACTATGGTGGCTTCTTCTCTTATTCCCTGTTTATCAGCCATTGGGAGAGTGGAGGAGTTTTGTAAAGGTGCCTTACCATTGTAAAAATTGTGATAAATGGTGAAGCGCTACCAGGGGCGGACTGACAACTCATGGGGCCCCCGGGCAATAGGGGATCATGGGGCCCCTGTGTCCTTGCCCAAACTCAAGAAAGCCTATGAAAAAGGTACCAGGGGCATCTCATGGGGCCCCCTAATGACCTCGGGCCCTCGGGTAGAGCCCGAGTTTCCAAATGGTCAGTCCGCCCCTGGTTCCAGAAGGCCAACCGTCACTGCAGCCCTCCACCAATCTGGGCTTTATGGCAGAGTGGCTAGGCAGAAGCTTCTGGAAGTCTGCTTGGAGTTTGCAAAAAAGTTTTTTGCAATTTTAAGTAACTGTAGTATCCGGCTGCAACATAACCCAACTTAAAAATGTGCAGAGGGTATGACTATTTTATGAATGCACTGTGCATGTATAATAAATATATATATATTTTTTATTACACACACACATACATGCCTTTCTGTATTTGCAACAAGACAAAAAGATCTGTTGATTTGTCAGAAATGCTATGAGCTCCTAAATTCCCATATTGTGCTATGGCTCCCCTGAACTAACATCCCAAGCATTGTTCCCAGCCTTGTTGCTCCCTTGCTGGGCACATGCAGACATTTAGATGGAGCAGAATGAGCAGAGAGATGCCTTGATCTGTAAGCTTCTGTTGCTTTTTCATTGTCCCAACATCTGGAAGGGGTGCGTTTTTGATCAAGCTGTGTCGCAGTGCATGTCAAGGAGCAAGCTTTTTGCAGGGGTTATCTGAACCAATACAACTGGCTGAACAGAATTCTAAATCCTTTTTGGTAGGTAAAACCGTTACAATTTAGCTGTCCTTTCTGAAGGTCAGCTATAACGGGGTCTCCAAACTCAGGCCCACTATAAGATTTTATCTAGCCCACAGCTAGGGTCTGTTGCACATCGTGAATGCACATCGTGAATGCACACTGATTGAAGATTACGGTCAGCAAAGGCTGCATGTGAACTCTGATGATGGACACCCTGATGTGGGGGGGAGGGGTTGGAATCTGATGGGCACCTTGATGTAGGTGGGGTAGGCTCTGTTGGGCACCCTGATGTAAAAGGGAGGGGGGACTTTGATGGGCACCCTGATGTGGGGGTAAAATCTGATGGGCACACTGATGTGAAGGGATAGGGGAGCATATGATGAACACCCTGATGTGGGGGGGGGGAGGTTGGAATCTGATGGGCACCTTGATGTAGGTGGGGTAGAGTCTTTGGGCACCCTGATGTAAAAGGGAGGGGGGACTTTGATGGGCACCCAGATGTGGGAGTAAATCTGATGGGCACACTGATGTGAAGGGATAGGGGAGCATAAGATGGGCACCTTGATGTATGGGGAGGGTATGGGTTCTAATGGGCACCTAATTAAAGGGGGGAATGGGGTTCTGATGTGCACTCTGATATTAGGAGGCTTTGATGTGCACTCTGATTTAAGGGGGAAGGGGGCTTGATGTAAAGGGGGGGAGGGGTTGTTCTCTGATGGGAACCAGATGTAAGGAGGGAGGGGGCTTTGGTGGGCACCTTGATGGAAGGGGGCTTTGGTGG